GCTCTCCCGGATCTTTTTTCTTTAGGAATTTGGGGGCTCTAGGTCAGGCTAGGGGACCCTGGCTGAGCAGGGTTGAGTAGGAGAATGTGAGAAGGCTGTGTTTATGTTTGGGGCAGCATGAGGAATGGGTGTGCATCCTTGCTACCACTTTACTCTTCATGCCCATCCCCCAAGCTTTTTGCCCACTCAGATTATTTTTAGCTTAGGCATCCCAGAGCTCTACTGTTTAATTAGGGTTCTTGTCCCTTAAAAAGGTGGTCTAGTCAAGGAGGCAGACACATGTGATATGGCAGCCACCTGTCTCTAAGGTAGGATGACATCTTTGGGCACCAACCCAGCTCTGCTGCCAGTTTCCTCCACAAGGAGACCAGACCCTATCCTGTCTGTCCTGGGGCAGTTGTGAGGAAGCAGAAACAGCTCAGGGGCAAACTGATAGGGTCTGCTGGAGGATACTGCTATAGGGACCGTCTTTAGCGGTCAAAGTCCCTTAGTTCTGTCTCTGCCATGCCTGGCCCAGGGGCTAGGAGGCCTGAGGCAAGTAGCAAACACAGAGCCACCACAGGGTGACAAGCCCTGAGACTGGAGGTAGATGTCCCTTCCCTCCTTGGGAGGAGAGGGGCTAAGGCTTGGTGAGAAGACGTACAAACACACCTTAGACGATGCCCTATCCAGAACATAGCTTTTCCTGCCTGCGGGCTGATAGAATTGGAAATAGTTCCTCAGGCTCACTGGCCAAGCCTGGGAGGTGGAAGCTGGAGAAAAGGAAGCATCTGAGTAGGTCTCCACCTCTTGTCTCTAGCTGCCTCCTTTGCTGCTGGAGGCCAGCATGACCTACTCACTCAGGGAAGAGCTCTGAATTCTCCTGGGCATTGTTCCTAAAGTACTTGAGGTCGCAGCCATGGCCACATAACTCTCCCGTCTATGGATTGGAAAGAAACCCAGAGCTCTTAAATGCCATGCACAACATCACCCAGCTGGAGCTGGAATCGACACTGAGGTCAGAAGAACATCCTGACTCTGTGTTGCCCACTCCCAGAGGCACCAGATAGTCCCCTAGGAGGCAGGGAGGAAAGCATGAGGACAGGGCTAGCGTGCTCCTAGCATAGCACCTGGGACATCCCCATACTGCACAGGCTTTATGCACCTTTTTCATTTCAATCCCCCCACATCACCTGCCCCTCAGGGTACGATAATAGGGTGCCAAGTCTCAAAGGTCTCGTAATCCCCAGACCCCCTTATATGACTCACCTTGACCTTCCTGTCATCTGCTGTTGTCTCATCGAACTCCACCCCTAGCTTGAAGCTGATCTCTGTGTTCTTGAAGGTGCTGTGTGTTTTTATGATGATAGTGTCCCCATTCACTTCGATGACTGTGGTAGGCTTGGTCACATTGGCCACCTGCCTGGTAGTAAAACCCACACCTGAGGGCAGGGGGAAGGTTATTAGCATGAGTAGAGTGGAAAGACAGGGTACGAGGACCTCAGTGAACAACCCTCAGGCCCGGATGTGGGGCAGAGCGAAGAGGAGTATGAGAACTTTCAGAGACTGGCTGTTTTTTAAATTGTTTTCTTGTTAGCTCTGTGCAGCGAAGAGACACTTGATTTCACTGGGCAGATGGGAAGTTTAAGGGACAGGCATGCCACAGCAAGTCGTGGCAGATCTGAGGTTAGAACAAGCTACTTTCTGTGTAGTAAGAACTGAACGTGTCTTATCTCATTCAGCCCTTCATTCTCCCTGCAGGCCATGATGCTATTATCTCTACTTCACAGATGCAAAAACTGAGGGTTCAGGCCCAGGCTCACAGGTCTGGAATTGGAACGCAGAACCGTTTGACTGAAGAGCTCCTGGAACTGTTCAGCTGTACTGTCTCCCAAGGCTGGAGCACAGGGCTCCCTCCCAGGGCACCTGAGCAGCTTTCCAGCCACAGGCTGAGGAAAGAAGAGAAATGTGGACTTCGCCTTCCAAAGCCTGAGGGACAGGCGTTTCCCACCTTTGGAAGTTTTTGCCCTGAAACCCACTGGTGCACCTGTCCCCTCTGTATGGCAGCAAGATATTTTCAAACCCCCTTCTCCATGACCTAGGTAGGAGGTAGGCAGAAGGGAGTGTGTGTCCCAGTGTACAGATTTAGGAGAGGCCTGAGTGCTAGTGCAGTCAGGACTCCAATCCAGGTCTCCTGGCTCCTGGTCTGAGGCCCTATGGGTACTCCCCGACTGACCAAAGCACGGCTTCCCTGGGTGCTGGGCAAAGCCTCCCTGAGTGTCCTGCAAGAGTGTGAAACAAAGAACTCCAGCAAAGCCTTAACCCTCAGGTTACAGCCTCCAACCTCCCATCACGACGGCCTGCCCTTCTGCCCGCAGCAGCAGTGGTGAGCTGTCTTGCAGGGCAGAGGCGAGGCGGGAACAGCCTAGTGTGGGGAGGTGGTGTGCCAGCCGACACTGCACTTGCTGGAAGTGAGGTGTGGCCTGTTCAGGTTGTTTCACTTAATGCTCCTAACACCTAACAGCCCTGAACAGTAGGGCTTATTATCCTCACTTTACAAATTAGGCTTGGAGAGAAGTGACTTGCCCAAAGTCAAAGAGTGAGTGATAGACCTGGATACGAATCTAGGCTCCAAAATTTGTTCACTCTTCCTCCTGGGCCATTCTCCCGGCGTGTACTTCCTCCCGCGCCGAGGCCACCAGGTGTGCCTGTGCTCACTGGTACTAACTAGGCTGGGTCTGTCTGCCCCCTGAGGACCCTTGGTCTAAAACTAGAGGGGTGAGGGCAGCTTCTGCCCTGCCCGGTCAGTAAGGGACCTGGCCTTATCCCCTGTGAGTCAGGCTGATCCCACTCCCCAGAAGAGAGCAGGGTCTTGTCACCATGCAAGGAGCTCTGTTTGCTTAGGACCTACCCAGAGGTGTGGTGTGTTTGAGAAAGGAAACCACTGTGGGGTGAGTGAGGGACTGAGCCAAGAGAAACAGACCAAAAATGGGGCTGATGATTTTGGAGGCTCAGAAAGAGCTGGGTTCTACTTAAAAATGAAGTGGAAGCTATTTACAGAGAGAGCTGAGGATGGTCTTTTCTCCCCTGTGGACCTCTCATCCTTTCCATCTGTGTATGGAGAAAAGCAGGATGATACATTCTCAGCCCTGTAGCCCAAATCTGCCCCTTATTTGGGGCAAAATAAGGGAACAAGTGTGGTAAGGATGTTGCAGCTCACTTCAGGGACACAGGTCTTCAGTTGGAATGTCAGCTATGGGAGGCTTGGGGGGAGGGGCTAACTCTGGGCATCCCAACTTCCCAACAGCTGCCCAGGGCCCACTGCTCCAAGAGTGGCTACTTTCCTGGAGTCAGTGGGCATAGTACCCAGCATACTATGGTGGGGCATAAGAGCTTTGACCTCAAGAGCCAACACTTGTCCCTATTTCAGGAAAGGGTTAGGAATAGAGGGGAGAGATGGGTCCCCCACCCCTTATTTGGGTACCTGCCAGAATCAGCCCCCCTTCCCTGGTAGGAAGGCATGGAACGTAGCTCAGCTATGAACAATATTCTGGTTTCCCTGTCTCAGCCTGGGAGGCTGGGATAATCTCATAGCAGGGGATTTAAGAGAAAGGGTATCCACCTTCTCCATCTAAGCCCGTAGTAGGAGGGAAGGGCTGAGGTCAATCATTAGCTAAGCAGTTCCTACCACTCCCACCCCCAAGGTCCATAGTGGAAACTATTCTGGGTTACACATCTAGAAATCTAGGTTTTCATATTAGCTCTGCTGTGGGATTGATCTGACTAGTTTCTACTCTCTCTGGGTCTCAGTCTCCCCATCTGTCAAACTAGGCAAGGCATGGGGGATCTCCAAGGACCTCAGGTATAAGGACTCGAATCTTTATTCTTCCCCATTGTTGGAATGGAAGAACCCTTTAGCAGATCTTGGCCTTGCACCAGGACCCTGCTGCACCTGGGAAGTCTAGTGGTTTTCTCCACCAGACGGCTCCCCAACAAGTGGCTGAACCAGCAAGTGATGGGTCCTCCCACCCCGCCCTACTACTAGGCTTACTGACAGTGATTAAAGCCCGGTTACACACCACTGCAGGACGACGTCAGAGACTGCATGGTGAAAGGGCATCCTCCGGCAACCATCCTTTCTCTAGTTCAACACGGAGGGGCAGGGGTCGTTGCTAACTGTGCGGGGCCCCTATCTCACCTTCTCATATCTCATTCCCCGGCTGTTCCCCTCTCTTCCCATCTCCCTCCTCCTAGGAGTTTCTGCTTCTTTATGCCATAGTACACTCCCCATCCGCCCCATTCCCTTTCTGTATTCACACTTTCCAATCCCTAAACCACCCATGTTCCTGCTTTTTTCCTCCTCCAGCTAGCCTCCCACCTTCTGCAATGGATGCTCCCTTTTTACACAAACCCACCTCTCTCCAGATACTATGTATACCCCTCTTCCTCGAAAGCGCCTCCGTGCCCCAGCATCGACCGTGCCCCAACATCGACCTGCACATCTTGCCTCCTTGCGCCTCCCTACCTGGGAATCCTAGCCAGGTTCAGACCAGAAAGCCCCCTTCCAACAGGCCTCGCGTGCCCTAGCCCAGGCTGCCACCTTCTCCGCGTCCCCTTGCTCCCCCACCTTGAGCAGGAGGGATGCAGTAGCCGTACGGGGTACTAGCCAGGGCCCGAACGCTGTGCAGGGCTGCGCACGCGGCCAGGCCCTCTCCAGCCCAGTATCCCCGAGACGCGCTCACCAATTGACTTCATGTAGTCATCGAAATTCTTGCTGTCCACTAGCTTCCAGGTGCCCACGAAGGCGTCCACCATGGTGAGGCTGGGCTAGGCGAAGAAAGCAGAGGCGACAGAACTGGCGTGCAAGGACTCTGGGACCCACGGTTCCCAGCCCGCGCTGCCGCTTTAAATAGCCCTTGTATCACGTGGTGAGGCGTGGCCCACACCCCCAGCTCCCGAAATAGGAAGCCTCGGGCTGGCGCTCACCAGCCCCGAGCTGGCTGCCCCCTCCCCCGCGACCCGCCGAGGGGGAGGGGGCAGCCAGAGGCGCCGAGCTCGCCTGCGTCAGCGCGGGGGCCCGGCCTCCGAGTCCCTGCGCCGCGCTGGCAGGACCAGCATGCTCCCTTCCCTGGCCTCAAGGCGCTCTTCGCCATCTGAGAAGGAAGCAACTGGGGGCACGGTGCCCGCGAGGTGGGGCGCGCGCCACCGACACCTTCGTCCCCCAGTGTATCCCCGAGCTTGGGGTTAGAGCAGAGATGAAAGACAAGGAGAAAGGAAACGCCCTTGGGCTGATGCCCACGCCGGGAAAGCTGTGGCTGACTCTTCGTGGCGCAGGCATTGGTCCTCATTCTGCAGGTGAGGAGTCCAAGGCTCAGCGGGGAACTTACAAGGTCGCAGGAAATAAGGCGAGGGTTCACTGGAGCCCAGATTGCAAGTCTGGTCTAGGTGGCCTTGGAAGCCGAGCTCTCCCGCCACTCCCCGCTTGCCGGTGACCGGAATAGTCACCAGGGGCACCGTGGGCAGCTGAGCTACCCCTGTGCCCTCCGCCTGCGTGGGGCGAGAGCGTGACCCATCCCGCCGTGCCCTTCCCGCCCCGCACGTGCTCGCCCCTCCCTGTGGAATGTCTCCTGCGCTCGCCTTTCCGCCTGCAGTGCCCCTCCCCGTCCACCTTGCCAACGCTTCGGGCTCCTCTGACCTCTACGCCGGGCTCGGAGTATTTCATCAGGTCATTTCCCTCTTCCCCTCCTTCAGAAATTCTGGCCCTCCAGCCAGCTCTTCCAGGCCCCGGGGCGACTCCCCACCTGCCGCCCTTCTCTGACCTCTGCATACCTGCAAGCAGCTTGCACTTTCACGGAATGTCACTCACCTCCTTGAAAGACCTCCCGTGTGGTTGACGCTTTTCAAAGCGCTTTTAATAGTAAGATCACCTTGTATTGGTATTTATTTCTTGCTGACGACTTTAAGTACATTTTCGCATTGAACTTGCGGAACAAAGTCCACGAAGTAGGTTTTATAACTACTGTTTTACAGATGAGCAAACGGAAGCTTGGAGGAGCCCATTCATTTCTTAATCCAGCAATTATTGAAGCACCTACTTTTTGCCAGGCCTTGGGCTGGGCTGAGGAGAGACAACCATGCATGAGACACACACTCACATCGCTCACTTTTGGGTAGACAGACACAAAACTAGTGTGAATCTGAGGGAAGGCCTGTCCTGATCTAGCAGCTCAGGGTAGACTTCCCAGAGGAATGAGGGGTAAGTGAATGCCTAACAGATAGGAGGCTCTGCGTAAGGGTGTCGTGCCCAAGAGAACCTCAGCCAGCAGAGGTCCACGGTTGCGGGGGGGTGCATCTAGGAGCCACAGGCTCACTAGCCCTGGGGTCCTGCCAGCTCATTATCCCACTGACCCTCCTTCTTGGGCCTCTGTTTCTCACCTATCTCTGAGTTTCTGGGAAGAAGCCAGGGAGGAAGAGCCCTCTCTTGCCCAAGGTCCTGGTTCTTTGGGGCAGGTCCTCTTGACAGAAGACAGGGGCCTATTTCTGCCAAAGCTGCAGGGACAGGCCTTAGGGCTGGGCATGGAGCCCTGGTGACCTCATTGCCCGAGCAGGTGCAAGGGAGGGTTGGGGGAGAGAGTGGGATGGTTCCTAAGTCAAGGTCACAACCTTTAGACGCTGAACCTCCTCTCTCAAGGACTGAGTAGCTGGAGACCCAGGGGCCAGAGCTGTCTCCCTCCATGGTCCTCACGATGCCGCCGGGGAGAGCTGGGGCTGGGGTGGGTAGCTGTGGGCAGGTAGATCTGTGGGCCAGTTCTGATTCCCTGGGGTACTCACTTTGTGGCTGTGGGCCATTTCCTTAAGCCACTGTGAGTCTCTGTTTCATCTTGAAAATGGAGGTAATGACAGTATTTACCCCTTAGAGGGGTATGTTTGGGGATCAAATGAGATAATGCATTTTAAAATGCTGAGCATGGTGGACCTCATGCTCACTGCTGCTGCTGTTACTGTTCCCCTTATCCACGGACAGTGCAGGGGTCTCAGACCTGCTCTCAGCCCTGCCCCTCACCTGCTGGGCCCCCCACAGCAGATTGCTTGCCTTCTCTAATCCTCAGTTTTCTTACTTCCAAGACAAGATTAGAACCTGCTGCAATGGTGAGAAAGGGACTACAAAAATCTTTGGGAGCGTTGAGGGGGACACTGCTAGAGAGTCCTTGTGACCCCTCTCTCGGGCCCTGCCTCCGGGGAGCAGCATGGAGACAAAGCCCAGACCCACTAGCCTTGCTGCCCTACCCTCATCCCCCCACCACGCCCAGACCTGGGTCACCGAAGTTGACTTCTAAGCCACACCCTATCTGCTTTCCACTGAGCTTTCATTCTTCTCCCTCCCAAGTGTGCACAGCTTCTCATCCCTCTCATTACCCTGTTCCTCCTTGCCCTGTTCTCCTCACCGCCTTTGGGGAACGAGGGGCAAGGGGAGGGAACTCGAGCCTTTCCCTTTTCCTGCCTCTCTCTCTCTTGCACGCGCGTTCTCTCTCTCTCACACCCTTGGCAGATCCAGATGTGAATACATCTGGCAGGCGGCAGGACCAATCCCTGCCAAGAGCCAAGAGCAGCATCTCCCCAGCCCTCGCCCTGTGGTGATGTCACTGTTCTGTGTTTCCATGGCAACCACAGGCTGGGAAGATGGAGAAGAGGAGAGCTGAGTAACCATGAGAGAGCCAATGAGAGGGGCCAGCGGCACCGGGTGATCCGTGGGGCCATGGGGCGGGGTGGCGGGGGGGAGCACAAGGAGGCCTACTCAGCATCTCCAGCTCTTCCCTGGACCTTCCCTGCCATCTGGACGCCTCCAATAGGGGATGTGCTGCTGGCATGGGGAGAAATGTGGGAGGTAGAGGCCAAAGAGGCTGAGCTGGAGCCTCCACTGACCCAGGGACATAGAGCCCCCCGGCTTTGCCCCTGCCCACACCACACTCCACCCCCAGTACCTGCATCTGGAAATTTTTTCTTTGGATGGTAGGGGTGGTGCGGCTCTCTGCCATGGAATGAAATTCTTAACCCTTCCCTCCACACCCCCCACACCCTCCCCTGGTGCATGATGGGTTCAGAAGGAGCATCTTTGAAAAGAAGCCTGGTTCTACGTCCCAAACCAAGTGAGTCTCACTCCAGAGCCCTTAAAGCTAGAGAGGAGACAGATTCACTCACTCATTCACTCATTCATTTATTCATTCAATATTTCGTATACTCATTCATTCATTCAATAATCCATATACTCACTAGCCACTTACTAGCTAGAGACTAGGAGCCAGTCCCTTCCCCTTCCTCTCCTTTCCTCCCAAATGGAGGGAGGCCATCTACTCTCAGGGTTGACATGAGGATTAAAAGAGGTAACATATGGAAGCCTAACATACACAAATACTCAATGAAGGGTGATTCCTTTCTCCCTCTGGGTCTCACCAGGGCAGTTGTCCCAGAGATACACCTGAATGAGCCAAGGTAATTTGAGACATTGAACGAATAGCAAAGGATCTAAGTCTGTCTCTGTCTCCTCACTTAGGTCACTGAGCGCCTATAGAGACCTCAGAGAAGTTTCCACATCTCTCCCTTTCTCTCTCTTTAAATAATCCATCCATTTTACCAATCTTAATTGAGCACCTCCTGTGCCCAGACACTGCTGGGCTCCGTGGGGACCCAGGGGAGAGCCACAGCCCCCGCCCTCCCTGAGCTCACTGTGTAGGGGGATTGCAGCCACCGTGGCAGGAATGCAGTGTTCTTTCTGCCACTAGGAAGTCACTTCCTCTTTCCCCAAGAGTTCTAGCTACTCCGAGGCCAAGGGAACAAATGATGGTAAAAGATAGGGTTTACTCCACACCAGTTTGCTTCTGAGAAGCTCTGCCTGTGGCACCTGCTCCCTGGAAGGAGAACAATGGCTCTCTCTGCCCAGGGAGGAGAGGGGCCAGCTGCGAGTGGTGGGGCAGGCACCTCTGCTTTCCCAGAAACCAGCTTTCCTCCCTGCTGGCAGAGTAAAGGCCAACTCTTCCGCCTTGCTCCGTCTGTTTCATTAGTCGAATGTTACTGAAATCCTGTTCCAAGAATAGTGGCTGGCAGATAGTAGGAGTTAATGAATAAATATTGAATGAATGATGGATGACTGAGTATATGGATTATTGAATGAATGAGTGAATGAGTATATGGAATATTGAACGAACAGATGAATGAGTGAATGAGTGAGTGAGTGAATCTATCTCCTCTCTAGCTTTAGGGGCTCTGGGGTGAGACTCACTTGGCTTCCCATCCTGCGCCTTACTTATAGACCAGCAGTGTGACCTTGGGCAAGTCACCATCTCTCTGGGTCTGTATTTCTTTATCTGAGAAAAAAGCACATCACAATTCCCACCCAGCCGGCCTCCCAAGGACTCTAGGAAGATAAGGTAGGATAAGCTTGGGAATGCAGTACAAAGGTTAATTGTTTTTCTTCTCAGCCTCCTTCCCAGGAGCCACCTGACCCTCCACAGCCCCCAGGCTCTGGCCCCCACCCCGCCAGCCTCTGCGAGCCCTCCACCCTGCAGGCGCTCTGCCCTTTTGTATCTCAGGCGGGTGCCATGTTTGTGTCTTGTGTTCGCCTAGAGTCCTCTTCCTCCCTAGCTGCTACTCCTTTAGTTACTCCTACTCACGCTTCAGCTTAAGAAGCCCCATGCTCCCTATCAGAGCCCTGACCCTGCTTTCGTGTGGTCCACTCAGCTCTGAGTCTGCCTTTCCTATTACACCGGAAGCCCTGCAAGGGCCGGGACCCAGTTGGTGTGGCCATCTGCCATGTCCAGAGAGCCTAGTACAGGGCCTTGCACGGATCTGGGGAGTGGACAGTCTCTCCAGAGCAAAGGAAACCACCTGTCCTCTTCAGTGTTCTCTGTTGAAAATTCTGTCCCTGGCCCGCCTTTCCTATGACTCTTAACTTGTCTCCTGCCGAAGTATCCTGTCTTGTATCCTCTTTTTCACTCCATCCCTGAGGGTCATGAGACTGGGTCATCTCCAGTGGGTGGTGTGGCTCCAAGTGCTCCCAGCTGAGAACTGCCCTTCTGGGCACATAGATGTAGCCAGAATCTCAACTGGAGCTCTCTTTATTTATTTTAAAATTATTATTATTTTTTTTTTAAGTAAGCTCTACCCCCAATGTGGGGCTTGAACTCACAACCCCAAAATCAAGAGTTGCATGCTCTACCAACTGAGCCAGCCAGCTAGGTGCCCCTCGCTTTAGGGACAGCTCCATTCCCAGGAAGTAATCAAACCAGATCCCAGACTTGGGACTGCCCCTGGCTACTTCCCCACCGCTCCTCTATCAAATGAAAAATTTGCCTCTGCAAAACTACAAATAATGTTAGATTAAAGTATAATTAGACAGGGAAACCTAATGCTCATAAAACAGCACCGCACACCACCCTGAGGTGTGGGTGTGTTCATGTACCATGTGACCTGGCACCAAACAGATGGTTCAATGGTCACTCCCCAGAGTTCACTTTATTCAGGAACAGCTTGCTCAAGATTCTGGAAAGATGCAGGCAGCTCCAGGAGACCTGATGAGCCTGGGTGGTGTGGAGAGCTGACCACTGTGTGTCCTTAGGTGAGGAGAGCTGGTTGGCAAGCCCTGGCAGGGGGCCTGGCAGAGAATGGATCTTGGACTCGGGAGTCTGGGGCCAGGTGTGTTTCAGAAAGCAGGTACACAGTCAAGGCTGTCAGCCCGGCTTTGGCTTTTTGCTTTTTTTTTTTTTTTTGGACCTGGGATCTTGGGGTTGGCTGGGGCCAGTGGGGGGCAGCATCTGTGGGCTCTGTAGTAAACAAAGACGCTAGATAGGAAAAGGAAGGAAGAACTGGGTGAACTTGGGGATGACCAAGACTGGAGCCTATGGGGAGAGAGTTGCCCTCCTAGAGGTAGGAGGTGGGAAAACCAGGAGATTAGAAGGATGGGACCAGGGTCAGGTTTGATGTCAGATGGGCAATGGGGTTGTTCCGTGCCGGGGTAAGAAGAGCCCAGGGTGGTGTCAGGAGCCAAGGTCACTCTCTCTACTTGATGAGTCACTGGATGAGCTGTCAGGAGCCAGGAGGAGGAGGTGGGAAGACTGCAGGGCAGTTGGGAGACATGACACCAGCTGTGAGAACTTGACCGGTCCATCTCTCTGTGCCTGTTTCCTTTTCTGCATGATGGAGGTAGTAATGTCTGCCTTGCAGGGTTGGAGGAAGGAGCCCATGAGATCACGTGCTGTGCAGTGTGGTGCAGAAACTGCTTGCTGTCTTGCAAAGTGCTGGGCACTGGGTTCAGCAGCTTGCAGCCTTGAACGCTTCTAATTCCGACAGTAACCCAGTGATGCAGGTACTTTCGTTCCCATCTCCTGTTTACAGATGAGAGCCAGGAATTGGACCCAGGACCCTGGCCCTAGATCTTATTCCACACTGCCCTTCCCCGTGGTAATCTTTGCCCTGCCTTGCTCTGTGACCTTGGGCCAGTCTCTTCCTTGCAGTGACCCCAGCTCCATGGCAGGGGGTTGGGCCAGATGAGCCCTTTAATCCTTCAAGCTCTGGCACTTGGTGCTTCAGGAAGGGAACTTCCAAGTGGGAGAGAGGGTGAGGTGGGGCAAGAACCAGGAGAGGACAAACTTTTCCAGCATCCCCGCTCCAATCCTGTCGCCTCCTCAGTGGGTAGGCTGGCAGGCTCCCCTTTGCCCTACAAGCTGTGGGGCCAAGGGAGCAGGTGATGCTCAGCCCTAGCCTGAAATACTCACTGGGCACTGAGGGTCACTGAGGTCTAAGTGCCAGGACTGTCCACTAATAGGCAGGGCCCATCTGCCTTGGCTAGCTAACCCCAGAGGTCAGTAGGGCTGCCTGAGTCATAGCCCTTGGTCTCCACCCACCCCCCACCTCCTCACTCAGCGTCAGTTTATCTGGGGGCCAGGCCTGGTCTGGACCCAGGGATGTGGCTATTTCTAGATGCCCTCCCTGTCTCCTTGGCCTGGGCCTCCAGCCAGCTCAGGACATGCACACACATACATTCTCTCTCTTCCTCTTTCTCTCATTGAACTTGACTGCCACTGGCTTGGTGTCTGGACCCATGGTGGGTACTGACACCCAGCAGATGGCCCAAACTTGGTTCCCACCCTTATAGAGAGAGGGGAGAGGTGGACGTGTTTACAGATGATGACAGTACAGAAAGGCTGTCATTGTCCCACATGCAGATGGCACATGGACCGAGGAAGGCCAGAGGAGGGAGCCACCCACTCAGCCAGGATAGTCAGGAAAGACTTCACATAAGAGGTACCCTTTGGACTGGGTCTTGAAGGATACATAGAGTCTGCCAGGTGTGGGCTGAGAAATTGGGAAGGCAGAGGAAGAGACAGTTCAGGAAGGATGAGATTTTCCTGGTGATTGATCTGGGATGAGAGCAGAGGATAAAAATGGCAAGTGATAAGATGGGAAGATAGTTTCGGGCCAGACAGGAAGAGGCCTTGCCCACCGTCAAGGAGGCTGGCCTTTCTTCCAAAGGCCCTGGGGAGTCACTGAGGGCTTAGGCAGGGGAGCCTGAGGATCTGACTGGGATGATACTAAGAGTTCTCTGGCTGTTGTTTGGGGGCTGGACTGGACACTGGTCAATTAGGAGGCTGTGGCAGCCATCCCAGGCTCTCACCCACACCAGCAGCCAGCAGGCGGGGGGAGGAGGGTGGACACATCTCTCCTAATTAAAGGCATGACCTGGAAGCTGCACACATCTCTTCTCTCGGCCAGAAATTAGGCACAGGGCCACCTCTAGCTGCAAGGGAGATGGGGAATCATGGTCATTATTCCGGCCTGCCTGCAAGTCTGGAAAATGGGGAGGACAGCATTCAGGGGCTGGGAGGTCCCTGACATGGTGGTTAAAAGTATCTCTCTGAAATCAGGTTTCCTGAGCTGAAGTCCCACCTTACCACTTACCAGCTTCGTGGGCAGATTATGTACCCTCTCCGTGCCTCCGTCACCTGGTTGAGGTACAGTGAGCTAACGTGCCAAGTCTTAGAGTAAGTAGAGCCTGGTACCCAGTGAGGTCCGGAGCTGTCTTTAGGTTCTGAGAAAAGGGGATGTTCTGGGGACAAATTCTGCCCGAGTCCCCTGGTAGAGCCAAGGTGCCCATATGGGGGCTGATGTATGGCTGGGGCAGCTGGGACTATCCAGCCGCCAACCCTGACATCAGTGGTTTAGCTGAGGCAGAGGATGCTGGGAGCAGGACAGGGGGGTCCCGGGAAGAGAAAAGTTGATTTCAGGAGGGAATTCACGAACAGGTGGCCCAAGGAGATATACCCCTTGGACTCAGGAGTTTCAGAGGAAGCCCAACCCAGAGCTCCTCACAGGACAACAGATCCCCCCAGAACCAGGAGGCGGTGGTTAGCTTTGAGTCAAGGGCACTTGAAGCAGGGCTCAGACTCATAGCTGCTCTGTGGCCCTGGGCCTCCAGCCACCATCCCCCGACTCTGGGCCAGGGTCTTCCCACCCAGAAGCGGGAGATCACTTATCCCTGCTTCCTGCCATGTGGCTGTGAAGATTAGACATTAGTCCTGGCTCTGAAATTGGGCTGCACCTGCAGGGCTAAATGCCCAGGAGGGATGGGTCGTAGAAGGTGACCATGTGACCCCTCCCAGGAAGGGGGAGCATGGCAGCTCTGTCGTGCTGAGCCACTTGACTGTCCTACCTTCTTCCTCATTTGGCCTTTGTTCCTCTTCCCAGGTTACTACAGGCTGTAGAACAGGGTGGGACCAGAGAGCTAATGTGGCAGGGGAAGGCAAAGAGCCCAGAGGGCTGGGGGGTAGATAGAGCAACTTTAGGGGAAAGGCAGAGTGATAAGATTGAGGGAAGATGAGGAGCTTAAAGTGAGGGGTGAGGTGTCTAGAGCTGGTTTTGGAAGGACCCATTCTCATTCTCCCCATAGTGAGGCCCAGAGGAGGAGCTTGCTGAGGACAGACTCTGTGCCTGAGGCATTTCTCTGTCCCCCACAGGGCAGCACCTAGCCCCGCTCCGAAAACCCCAGACTGAGCCCCCAGCCCCAGGCCTACATGAAGCAACACGCCCCCAGGCCCTGCTTAGGGGAAGATCTGAAAGGCAACCTTGGGGGGAGGAGAAGCAGCTGGGCCCCAGGCAAGGCTCCCTCATCTCACTGCCTTGCTCTGTGACCTGGGACAAATCACTTGCCCTCTGAGTAATGGGGGGGCGGGGAATGGGCAGGCAAGTGAGCTACTTTTACACCAGAAAGTCCTGTCTTCAAGCAAACTTTTAGAGGAAGTCCAGGAGATAAAAGGAATGAGAGGGAGCTGTTGTACGGGTGGGAGCTGAGAGGGGGCCTCGCGCCTGCTTGTGTGGACCTGGGGGCCAGCAGGGCCAGTGTGAAGAGTGCCAGGCGGATCTCTGGGCCTCAGTGGACCCGGCTGCCCCACCCCTGCCTGATCTTGCTGCAGCCTGGGGGCGGGGGTGCAGGAGGGTTGGGGATAGGGTGGGGACGGGGGTCCAGCAACTGTGGCAAACAGCAGGCAGAGCCCCACCCCAGGTTGCTCTTCTATCCCGGGGAGCTGGCATCACCCACGAACACACTTTGGGTCCCTGGGCTGGAGGGGGGGGGCGCCCAGAGAGAGCCCTCAGGTGCCAGAGCCTCTGGATGCTTGGTAGGCTTTCAAGTGCTGAGGAGAGGAGAAAGGAGGGGGAACCACGAGATTTGGGGTCAGAAAGCTCCTGGTGCCACCTGGTTAAGTGATCTGGAGCAGCCACCGTACCTATCCGGGTCTCAGTTTCCCCATCTGAACAATGAGGGATGAGTGCGATGATGTGGGTGTCCTCGGACACCCACATCTCATTTGTGGCCGGACAGAAGATGGGGGCGGGTGGAGGCTGGGCTGTGGGTGCTGAGCTTCCCAAGAGAGACGGAGAGCTGCCTGTAGTTCAGAGGCGTGGAGGGGGTCAGGAGTGGGGTCAGGGTTGGCAGGAAGACAGTCTGAGCTTGGGCTCTGCCGCTAAGTTGGTGTGTGTTGTCCCCTCTCAGGGCGACACTATCTCCATCGGTCTAAGGGGACCAGATACTCCAGATCCAGGAGTCACTGACTGTCTGGAGTCAGAGACTGGGGCAGGGGTCTGGAACTGCCCCTGGGCCAGGGTCCCATTGTGCAGAGCCAGAAGTGGCCGTCACAGGCAGGGTGGATACTGAGGGTCAGGTAGGATGCAAGTGTGGAGGGGAACTTCGGGGTTACAACTTCTTTGGTTTACAAATGGGGAAACTGAGGCCTAAGAAGGGCAACCAGTTGTCCAAAGTCCCAGAATGGGTTGGGGCAGAGCCAGGACCAGAAGCAGGACTCGTGACTACCCATTTCAGCTTCTCTTCACAGGAAGCCCTGATCAGGAGGTGCAGGGAATAGCTTCGTCTGGGCAGTGGGGAGACTGACACCTCCCTGACCCTGGGGGTGGGAGAGGGCAGAAATGACATGATGACACCTGCTGAAGATTGTGGTGCGCAGCGTGAACCCCGCCAGACGGGCTCACCTTCCTCTCCTCTCCCTGCCCTCTCCCCAGGGCTGGTGATTTTGTTATTCTTCCCATCTTCCCACAGGGGCAGGGCTAGAGGTGTGGGGCATTAGGATTTTGCAGAGACAGTGGGGTCGTGAGGTTACGCTGGGGGATGCAGGGAGGAACTGAGGCCAGAGGCTTTCCCCTGTGTCTTGGGTGGGGGTGGGGTAGGTTATTCCCACAGAGAACAGCATTCTGCCTGCTGGCTTGGGAGTGGATGACAGAGAGGGAGTGCTGGCCCGTCTGGCCACTCTGCATACCGGTCTGCAGGGGTGCCGCTGAGAGTGGAATGCTAGTAATAACCATATAATAATAATAATACTTAAGATATGAACATTTAGCACGTGCTAGGTGCTGTTCTAACACTATAAATACAAACGCATTCAATCCTCACAGGCATATGTGGTAGATGCAGTGATTTATCTCCGTTCGACAGGTGAGGAAATGGAGGCACAGAAAAGTTGTCACTTGTCTGACATCTCAGCTAGTAAGGAAGCCGGGATTCGAACCCAGGCCAACAGCTCCAGAGAGCTGCTGTGGTTCTGTACCACGGCGACCCGGTGGTTCTCTGGCCCACCCCTGGGAGCGCAGGACCTCTTGCGAAATGAAGGAAAAGTGCCTATGATGCAGCATCACCTTGACCGGGACCATGGGCAGCCCTGGGAGCCGCAGGATGGTCACCAGACTGCAGAAACGGGGATGAGTATCTTCTATTACATCTCAGTATTTAGAAGATGTCTGAGGGCAAGACATACACCTGTGTCACCTCTTTACAGACAGAAGTGTCAATTTATTTTAGAAAGAGGAAGGGTGGGGAGAGGGAGAGAGAGAGAGAACCTAAAGCAGACCCCATGCTGAGCCTGGAGCCTCGGCTGGGGGGCTGGATCCCAGGACCCTGAGATCATGACCTGAGCTGAAACCAAGAGTGGGAGGTTTAACCGACTGAGCCACCCCAATGATGTAAATAAGGCATTTTTCAGTGACAACAGTGTAGGTGGTGGGATAGTGGACAGTGCACGTGGTGGCCTGTTATCCAGAAGACTTTCTCACTGACGGGAATGAAGAGAAATCCGCCCAGCCGGGGAGTCCTGGACATCCGCCTGGCCTCACGTGTGACCTCCTTTGAGACCCGAGCTGCAGAGCGCCTGCCCAGTTCACGCCCCACCCGCCTCCTCCCCAGAGCTGCCCCTCCCCAGTCGGTGGCACTGCCCACTGAGGCCAGGCTGCCTCCTGTGACCCCGCCACGCCCATGGCCACGACGGATTGGTCCAGGAGTGCCTACCTGATCCAAGCGGGCCAATCAGGTCCGTCGGGGATTATGGATCGGCACAACTGGCTGGGGCCGTCCCTGACCCAAGAACAGGTAAACTTGTTGACTGTGAAGCAAATGCCTTTACCCTCACTGCTGTTTGCACAAGAGAAAAGAAGCAGGAAGCTGTGTACAGGCAAGGGAGGGGTGAAGCAGTGATGAGGGTTTACAGAGGCGCACTCTCCACTCTGCATCCCCTACACGGACACTGCAGGTAATTCCTGCTTTGTTTCAGTGAGCCTGAAAAATGGTTGTTACATGTAGTCAAATGGTCTTATTTAAGGCACTTAAGTTGGAAAAGGTAAGAAAACAAAGTACCACAAAGCCCCTGAATGTGTTGGTTTTATTGTCATGGTTGAAAATGGCGGACCCCCAAGTCCCAGAACTACCTGTGTCGGGGACAGTGTCCATAATGGAAGCATGAGATCGTCTGTCTCTTCGTCCTGAAATTACTTCCCAGAGTATCTACCACATTTCTTCCCCAATAGGAAATCTGCTTTAAGAAGGACTTTATTAGGGGCGCCTGGGTGGCTCAGTTGGTTAAGTGACTGCCTTCGGCTCAGGTCATGATCCTGGAGTCCCAGGATCAAGTCCCGCATCGGGCTCCCTGCTCGGCCGGGAGTCTGCTTCTCCCTCTGACCCTCCCCCCTCTCATGTACTCGCTCTCTCTCATTCTCTCTCTCAAATGAATAAATAAAATCTTTAAAAAAAAAAAAAAAAAGAAGGACTTTATTAAATTTGGATTTGGATTTGTTCAGTGGTGTGCTGGCAAATGTTTGACAACGGGTTCTTCAGAAATCCAAAGGCATGCGTTATATATGTATGCACGTTTACTATAAATTTCACTGATACAAAGGATGTGTAGCACACAATTTACAAATTACAACACGCTGCATGAACTCTTGACTATAAATTCCATATAGTCAATTGATTTCACAGAATGCTTTTAATTGTTGCCAAAGTCTTGTATCTCTAGTCTGTCTATGGTTGAAACTCAATCAAAATTTGCAGTGGGGTTGCATTTCAGTCTACTAACTATTCCCAATAAATTATTGTTATTAAATCTGATACATGAGCTACTGTGAGTTACACTATCTCTTACTTTCCTATGAATGTGTTCATTGAACTGAAACCTCTTTGAGCATCAGCCCTTCAGTGTCTTCTGTGCTATTAACATTTTGTGCATCAGTTTCTTTCGTCTAGAAAGTCAAAACAGCAAATCAAGCCCTGATGTGCAGCATTTACCAATTCCCCGGTGGCAAATATTCCTGCCTTGGCCAATTTCAAGTTACCAATGTGATATCACCGAACACAGAGCTGGGAAGAGATGTGCAGAAGCACACCGTTAGGTCAAGCTTCCCTTAGACAGATACCACGGATATGGACAACCTCAAGAGACTAGATAATGGTAAAATGTTGTAAAATCATGAGGAAGTGAAGAGTTTTGAGTATTATCTTTATTTTAATAAAATGTATTTGATGTAAATGTAGGTAATTTAAATTTTAACGATGACTGTCCAACAACCGGTTCGAAAAATTCCTGAACCCCCAGCAACTGGCCCTTGTGAGCTGGTAAGACGGCTCTGGCGCCTTGCGGACATGTCTCCACCCAAAGGCATCCCATGGGACGCTGTCAACAAGAGAGACCCCACGGCTGGAAGGACCATGGTGAAGCCATTTTCCCTGGGAAAGTCTGAGCTGATTGTGTCTTGGAGCAGAAGAAGAAACTTGGAGGGAAGAGATTAAGGGCAAATTTCAAGGCAGGACACACCATCCACATGGCCGGTCCATTATGGCCATTTTCATTCCTCCACACTGAAATGTGAGATTATTGTTTTTTATTTATTATTCATTTCTTTATTTTCTTAAAGATTTTATTTGTTGGAGAGAGAGAGGGAGCACAAGCAAGGGGAGCGGCATGCAGAGGGAGGAGCAGGCTCCCCGCTGAGCAGGGAGCCCGATGCAGGACTCGATCCCAGGACCCTAGGATCATGACCTAAGCCGAAGGCAGATGTTTAACCCACTGAGCCACCCAGACGTCCTGATTGTTATTTTTTATTAGTAAGTGCTCAGTGGATATCTCTGACCTTGGTCTCAGCCCATCTCCGCACCCCACCCTGTGTCTCAAACTCACCCCACTCATCATGATCGATAGTTGCCTGTTCTCACCCCAGACACCCAGAGGAGCAGCCCTGCTTGTTGGTTAGGTTTTTCCATCCCCATCACAACTTGCTGGCCCTCTTCCCCAGGGAAAGCCTGAGCTAAGCCCTAAGATCGGTATCTTTGCACCAGACCACATGGTAGGAGGGATTGTTTAATTTTAAAAGAATGCAGTGATGGGATGCCTGGGTGGCTCAATCGGTTAAGCATCTGCCTTCAGCTCAGGTCATGATCTTGGGGTTCTGGGATCGAGTCCCGTGTCAGGATCCTTGCTCAGTGGGGAGCCTGCTTCTCCCTCTCCCTCTGCCCCTCCCCCTGCTTGTGTGTTTGCTCTCTCTCTCTCTCTCTCTGAAAAATAAATAAATAAAATCTTAAAAAAATAAGAAAAGAACGCAGTGCTTCTTATACTCCTCTCCATTCTTCAAAACCCTACTCACGTCACCCCTCTTCTGCCATCTCACCTTCCAACAGTGCTATGGCCAGGACTTGTCCATATTCCTCTCATTACCTATTCAGATAAGAAGGTGAATATTTGCTTACTAATCAGCACCCTTGACTAGGCTGTACATTTTTCCTCAAGGGCAAGGACTGTGTCGATGTTGTATGTTACTGAGTGGACAGTGTCTAATGCAGGGCCTGGCACTGAGCATTTTCTCAATAAATATGTCAAATTTAAAAACCTAAATATATATTGCTCAATGCCATGTGAACTCCTATTTGCCCAGGGAGATGATTTGGACTCAGTCCTTCCCTCAAGGAAGCTCCCCTTGGGGCCCCTTGCACCTCCTCTTCATCTCCCTAAATACGTATTTCCCACTTGGATCCCCGAATGTCAGAGCCAGAGAGGTCCTGAGGCTATTTGGTCCCATCAGCTTGTAAGGTCCAGAGAAGGGCAGGGAGTTGCCTAAGCTCACAAAGCTCATTCATAGGCTGGAAACCAAACCTTATGTCTCCCAGATCAGGATTCCCTTCTTAGAGACAGGGAAATAGGCCTAGAGAGAGGAAGGTGAGCATGAACTCACACAGCAAGTGAAGGGCAGAACCAGGGTCCGAGAATTCTCCTGGCCCACCCAGATCTCCTCGGGATCATCCTCCTCCTCTTGGGACCTGGAAATGAAACTTGAGGGTGTCCACTCCATGCACTCTGGGTGAAGAGAGGCGATTCTGGGGGGTCCTGGTTTTAGAGCTGACAGGTGCATGCACCAGTTTGTCCACCAGGGGGCACTACAGAGTGGTCTTCTCACTGAGCCTGGAGCCCTGGTTCACCTGTACTGGGGCCAGGCGGCCAGACTGAGGTCCTGGGAGGTGAGGGACTTGCCAAGGTCATCCTGAGAGCCAGAGACAGAACTGGCACTTAACCGGGCCTCCTGACACCAGTCAGATGGATGGCCGAATGTGGCCTGGGGGTGGGTCTTCAGCCCTCTGAAGGCCCTCCTGGGCCAGGCTGGGCTGAGGCACACCCCTGGCTGGCATGGCATGGCACTTCTCCCTGGCACGATGACCAGTGCTGAGCCACACCCTGCCTCGTCCCTGCTGTGTGCAGTGATGTCTCCCACCCCTATCAGCCCAGGTCTGTGGTTTAGGGGACACGGGCACTCTCCATGTGCCTGCTTTGTCTGCAGGGAGGAGAGGGTGGGCCTAGGGTTAGACCCGGAGTGCGGCAGTCAGACCGGCTACTCAACCTCAGACCAGGTCACCCATCTCTTCGTGCTTCCGCTTCCTTAACTGTAAAGCAGAGATCATGGTAGTTCTTTTTGTGTTTTTTTTTTTTTTTTTAAGATTTTATTTATTTATTTGAGACAGAGAGAATGAGAGACAGAGAGCATGAGAGGGAGGAGGGTCAGAGGGAGAAGCAGACTCCCTGCCGAGCAGGGAGCCCGATGCGGGACTCGATCCCGGGACCCCAGGATCATGACCTGAGCCGAAGGCAGCCGCTTAAGGGAGCCCGATGCGGGACTCGATCCCGGGACCCCAGGATCATGACCTGAGCCGAAGGCAGCCGCTTAACCAACTGAGCCACCCAGGCGTCCCTTTTTGTGGTTTTTAAAAAGGTTTTATTTAAATTCAAGTTGGTTAACATATAGGGATTATAGGGGCACCTGGGTGGCTTAGTTGGTTAAGCGACTGCCTTTGGCTCAGGTCATGATCCTGGGGTCCTGGATCAAGTCCCTCATCAGGCTTCCTTTGCTCTGCGGGGAACCTACTTCTCTCTCTGCCTCTGCCTGCCACTCCCCCTGCTTGTGCTCTCTCTCTCTGTCAAATAAATAAATAAAATCTTTAAAAAAAAAAAACATATAGGGATTATAGTAGCTCTTCTCTCGGAGTTGTTGGAAGGATTAAATGAGAGGCACAGCAAGTCCTTGGGAGCTTTTTATCACGACTGAAACCTGCA